TATTAAAATAATTTGTATTATTATAATTACTCTTAAGTGCCTTAATTAATAAATCAAAAAAGTTATATAAAATATTACATAAATAAAAAATAATTAATCTTTTTTATATATCTCAATATTATTTTCCATCCAACTTTTTAAACAAAGTGATGCACAAGCAATATCAGGATTAAGTCGATTGCGAAGTTTTGAAAGTGTTATTGAGGCAGTAGAAAACACTTCTTCACAAAACAACACTAGATCCTTGAATTGCAAGATAATCTTGTGCTATTCTAGAAAGTGTTGGAAATCTATGTTTATTATCATCCCACTATTGTAAAGAATTATTATTAATAGTTGGTATAGATAAATATTTTTCTAACTCCTCTGTTAATAGTGGTGTTTTAATTGTTTGCTGCATTATTAATGATATAAATTTTTTTCATTTATCATCAAATATTAAGCTAGAAGTATTAGAAGTATCACCTGCTGGTATTGATTTATATTGATCAAGTATATTTCGCAGACTAGCAAGAATAATATTTTTTTTATCATTAAGCTGAAATGTTAATAGCTTTGATGTTGGGTTAAGAATTGAAGCTATTTTTGTTGATTCATTAGCATCAAGAATAGACTAATATTTATTTAATTTTTTTTTAATTAATTCTGCTATTAAACATTCAGCTTCTAAATGTGAATTATAAGCTTTAAATTGATCAATATGAATAAATAACCCCATAAAAGTTAAACGAACATCAGAAATACTTGGATATAAACTTTTAGAAAGAATTTCTGTTGCATCATACATTGGTTCTAGCAAATAAATTATATTATTGATAATTTTCCACTCTTCTTCATTAAAGTAAGTATTTTTAAGTTTCTGATGGGCAGTTGTAAGAAGGTTAAGTTTATCATGCATCTTTTTAAATTGACAAAGCATATGATAAGTACTATTCCAAAGTGTAACTATATTAGCAATTAATTTGCTATATAGTTTTTGAGTTATTCTACAAAAGTTTCGAAGTTTGTTACATAAGACTGTTGATTTTTGAACCTTATTTACAAACTGCTGAACCTTGCCAATTACTCTATGTTGAAGTTCTATACCACTTTTTACAGCAATATTAAGTATATGAGCTGCACAATGATGATGACTAAATCCAAACTCATACCATTCTTGTTCTATTAGATTTCTACATAAAACCATTGCAGATGCATTATCTGTTGTTAGTGAGATTATTTTGCTATTAATACCCATCTCTTCACAAATATTATCAAGCTTTTCTTTTATATATATTGCAGTATGATGATATTCAAAGAGAATAAGATCAAGTAAAAAATGACACATTTTCCATTTGTTATCAATATAATGTATAGTAATCCAGATAAGCTTGGTTTGATATTGATGTCCAAATATCAGTAGTAAGTGCAACTTTGATATTAAGAGCTTTAAGTTCTTGTGTAACAAGTATACGACATGATTCAAATTGAGATAATGTCATTTTTTTTATATATTTACTTGAAGGTAACTGATATCTTGAATCATATATATTTACTGCATTATGAAACCAAGGGTTTTCAACAAATAAAAATGGAAGTTGTGCACCAATTATAAAATTGAATGTAGCTTTAAAACATTGCTTTTTCCGTTAAGTATCATTTTTATCATAGAGTCTTTGAAGTAAAGATAGTCAATTGGTTTTTAAAATAAGTATAATATCATGTTTATTTTTAAGATGGGTATTAAGAACACTAGTGGCTGTTGTTAGACTATATCTTTGTCTGTATTTTTTACATATTTTTGCAACAATTTTGCCTTTAACATTTTCTTCATCAAAGTAATCCCATACAGGTAATTTTTTAATAAGTCTATTATTATTTGTAGCAATATTAGTGGCCTCATTTTCTACACCTTCCATATTTTTTACATTATCTGTATTATCTATATCATTATTATCTATACTAATTGCATCATCTATATCTTCCATTTCTTCATCTATATTATTTATATCTTTTGAATCTTTTATATCTTCTATATTATTGAAAATATCAAGTTTTATTTTCTTCATAAGCACTATAATCAAATTCATCGGCATTGAACATTCTTAAAATTATTTTTTAATTATTATTATATAGTTTTTAGTAAGGTTCTATATTTAGTAAAAGGTATATTAATTGATAGCAAACCTTGTAAAAAAGTAGAAAATAACAATTAAGTTAGTAAAATGAAAGATAAAACAACTACTCTAGGATTTTTAACAAACTTTTTGATCATGTAATAATTTAAAAAAGATTAAACAATAAAGAATCTTGATTTGGTATATTGTTATATAATCAAAAAATTTTAAAACAAATATCACAATCTTTTATATATTAACAAAAAATTCTTCAAGTAATTTTACTATTATATTTTGTTTTGTAGAATATTTCTGATTGACTGTATCCTTGATTTATACTAGATATATTACTAGATTTAAAACCTGTATTTTTTGTATAAGACTCAGTATAATAAACAGAGATTTTTATATATGTAATATATAAAAACATATTGTTTTTATAATATAATTCTTACACAAAACCTCTATATAGTATACTTTCTGCTATATAGTATATCCAGAAGCATAAATCAAGAAAAATTGGTTTAGATAGTAAGAGATTCTGAGTATTTTCTATACCAAAATATGCCATATTCTCTTTAATATCTAACCTTCATTTAAATACTTACCCTAACATAAACAAATTTAACCAATTTTATCAATTATCACATAATTAAAAAATTGTTGATAATACTGAAAAGAGTCTGGTCAATTGTATTATTACATGATATGTTCATTTCATCTATCTTACCCAAGATTACAACACAATTCTGCAGTCATGTAATTACTGATAAAATCCTTTAAAGCTTATGTAGATTTGGTTTAGGTCTGTTTTAGAATTAGAGCTTAGTAGTTTTAATAGTAAAATCATCTAAAGAAATTTTTTTGTTAATGCATAGAAGGCGGTTACCTATGCAGAATTTTAAGTTATAGGCAATGTTTGACAAAACGAATGTTTTCTTGATTGTGCAATGTTATATCTGATTCTGTAATCTGATTTGTCTAAGATCACGTCTGAAAATTTTTGTACTATAGTCAGAATTATCATGTTGAGTAGTATACCATGATCGTCAATTATGATGATAAATTTAAGTTTGTTTAAATGCAATGTAGAGTATAACGATAAGTGTATAATCTATATATTTAACATTATACAAAGTAGTATATATAATGAAATTAATAGAAATAAAGAAATAAAAAAAATGATAGTTAGTTTTTGACTGAAAAAAATAATGATAACGAAATACAATGTGTTATACTTGCCTGTTAAAGTGTTGGTGTAGAAGTAACTAAGAGTTAAGCAAGACCTTGAATTACAATATATCATTTGAGAAAGATAACTTGGTTACTGTTTAACTCGAATATTTATTGTTTTTTTTTGCTTTTTGATTATATTTATTTATTTTATTTTATTTTTTTTTAAATTTTATTTAATAAGAGTTTTTATATTTTTTAAAATCGTGGATCAAGATTTACAAAATTATGCAGTACATATAATTCTATACTATGGGCTTACGATATTCCAGATCTATTTAAAGGTATCTTTTTTAATTTTATATTAATACTGTAACAATCTCTACATTACGATAAATCATCCTATTTTTAGCCGATTTTTTGATTTAAAATTATCAAGAACAATTCTAACAGAACTTTATATCTACTTTTAATAATAAATTACTGTATATTAAATATTATTTGCAGTATGATTAATCAAATTATATTAGAGTAATACGGTATATGATTAAAAAATATAAATATAATTATAGGTTTTTAATTTAAGTGGTATAGTATTTAGTTGAAATAGTAATAATTTATTTTTGGTAAACAATAATTATAGCTAATTAAAGACTTTAAATTCTCTTTTATACAGAAATAAAGTATTCTTCTAGAGACCACATACATATGCAGTCACATAATAGACATATAAAATGAAATTATTATTGTTTTTACGAGATTTATGCTACTTAAATATTATCATACATGAATCAAAAGTTGGAATGAAATTTTGATTACTAACTCAACTTTGAAGCTAAACTAGACCGAACAGGACTTTTAATAGCCCCTAGTATATACAATTTGAAAATATTTAATTGATAATTATATTACTTAAATTCATGTATATCTTAAAAGCAACTTATTAAAATAAACCCTTTTTATGCAATCGTCAATAATTTATTTCCATTTACCAATTTTTGAATTATTGTGCCAGAATCGAATAAATTTTTTTTTTGGCATATGCTCATATACTCAAATACCCTAGCTATATTTAAAATAAATACTTTGATTTGATTCTAAAAGTCCAGTCCTTTGCTTTACTAATTTTTCTAAATAAGTAAAATGTATATAGCAATATAGATCAGTGACTAAGAGTGCTCTTAAGCATCTAAATTAATAGGTCTGAGTTTAATTTTAATTAGTAAAAAATAAATTATTTGGTTAAGCAAGTCTATTATTACAATAAAAAAAAGATGGTTAAAGACTATCTTTTTTTATCATAGAGTTGTACTGATTGACTAAAATTTAATATCTGCATTTCACAACGTGAATTCTCAACAAAATTACCATAAAGTTTATTTCAATTAATTGTAGTACTTGTGTACGATCTCTATAGCTAGCTAATTATACTGAAAGAGATGTTTGAGAGCACCTAAATTAGACTAAAATCTTATAACAGCACTTTCAAACAATAGTAAGAGATGTGTCAAATATTAGCTGAGATCAATTTATTATAAAGCTTACCTCTTCACTCCTACCTGAAATATTTAGATATTTTGATTAGTTATACATATACAGTATAATTAGACCTGAGATTTTGTCTATCTCCCCTACGCTACGATGTTAGCTGATATCTGATATTTCCTAACAGTAGCATAAAAAAATGGAAACATTAAAAAAATTTATATATAAAGTTATTTTTCAGAATACATCTGAAGAAATTCCCAAATATGTTAATTTAGAAGAAAAAGATACTTGCACAGTTTGTTACGATATAATTAGTCCAACTCTTCAAGAATCAATTACGATTTTAATATGTCAACATTTTTTTCACAAAAAATGTATAAGCCATTGGGCTGTTAATTTAAAACTTTTTTGTCCTAATTGTCAAAATGAGGCAAATACTAAAAATAAGATCATTGAAGTTGAAAATTTAATGAATATAGATAATGATGAAAACTTTGATACTACCACTATAATACCTGATAATTATGAAAACTTTGATACTACCACTATAATACCTACTACGCTCACGATGCCTATATCATCTTTTATGCCTATAGCATCTACAGTACCCACTATGCTTACAACACCTATATTATCTACAGCACCCACTACGCTTACGATGCCTATATTATCTACAGCACCCACTACGCTTACGATGCCTATATTATCTACAGCACCCACTACACCTATTATGCTTATAACACCTGCCGTATTTACATCTACAACATCTACTATACCTTTAGCACTTACTACATTTCCAGAATCTACTTCAACTACATCTTTAGTATCCGCTACATCCATGGTACCTATTATATTTGTAATATCAGAACCCATATACACTGAACCTACATCTATTAAACTTATATATACTAAATCTATATATATTGAAACTACATATGCTAAATCTATATATAATGAATCTACATATACTAAATCTATTATAAATTAGTAGCATCTACTTCATCTGTTTCATCTGTGATAAGAAAAGATAAAAATTTTCAAAGAATTTTCAAGCAATTAAAAACTTCTGTTAATGATGATGATATATCTGAAATTAGTAGTAGTGAAGATGATACAAAAAGTGTTGTTGAGAAAAATGATACAACATCAGGCTTTGTTTTACTATATAATAAAGCAAATTGTAATAAAGAACGTGCAACACATGCAAACCAAGCTGAAATATTATCATAGTATCATTATGCTGAAGAGTTTGAAAAACAAATAAAAAAAATATTAAATAATACTAGAATAACTACAAACAAGGCAAAATCAAAAGTCTATAGAGAACTTTTGACGCGTCTTGTAGATGTTGATTTACAAACTTTACAAAAAAGAATACAGAGAGCAAATACTATATATAATTTATTTAAAAAAATTGGAGTTGATAAATTTAACGAATTAAAATATATGGTTTTTATTCAATTGCAGACCTTACTATACCTCAAATTAAAACAATCAAAGATTATTTTTTGTTACAACAGGATTGAAATTGAAATAAATCTAATATTAATTTTTCAAATGTAAAACCCGAATCTTTGTAATTATTTAAATTAAACAGTTAGAAATTAGTAGATTATTTTAGATACTGTGACAAAAAATAATATAACGATTGTAAATAAGCTTTTTGTAACCTTATAGTAACAGGGTTACTCTAATTAGACTTTTATATTGTTACACTACTATATTTACATAATAGTATATAGCTAATTTAAATTTAATAATATGTATATAAATAGGGATAATAGCTAAAAAATACATGGAAAATTTTTTAGTTTTTCGAAATAAAAGATATTTTAGAGGACTAAAGTGTGTACCAGGTACACTTATTAGAAAGATACTTACTTGTAATGCTTACCGTATATTCCTGAAAATAAGCTACCATTTTTGGAGCAATTTTGAACACAAAAAATAAAGAGTAGCTAATTTTTGGAGTTTACAGTTTTTAAAAGATCTGTACATAAAAATAGGGAGTAGCTTATTATTGGGTATTTATTTTTAAAAATGCAGAAATTGCTGTGAATCATAATAAAATCAGATTAAAATGATCGCTTTAGTCTTCTAAACCCAATTTATACTTGTTTAATAGAAACTCTAAAATTAACCTCTATCTTTAACATCTAACCCTAATGAATGTGCCCCAAAAATTTTTAGTTGTTTCATTTTAATCCGTAACATTAAATATTGTACTTTTACTTTCACTCAATCATCTAAATTTAATGAGCATGTGGTTAGAGCTTGGATCTGGTCATCCGTTTTCATATTAAATTTAAAAGATATCTGATGGATTTTACTATTATCAAACGGATAACCGGATTCAAGCTCTACATTGGTAGATTTTATAGAACTTTTATGAGCTGAATTGTTTATGGTAGATTAATATTGTGTAATTTGATATATATTTTCAAATTAAAATATCATTGAATCTTTAATTTGTAGAAAAATATCCATAGCAATTGCAATTTGATGTTTGTAAACTTTATTTTTTAGATCCGTAAAAAATCTTGATATACACTTTAGAATACTATGCAGTAACAATTTATCTAAACCTTAATTGCATATGTGACCACGTTGGAACTTTCCAATTTGTGTTGGACTAGGCCTTTATTCAGGTATTGTGGAACAAATAAATGCATATGAAAAAGTTATGTATATATATATGTAAGTATAGAACAATACTTGAGACAATACTTGATGCATAGTAGAACAATACTTGATATTAAATGACACTTCAGCTAAATTTATTGCATGTGGAAGCTTAAATTCTTACTACCGGTTTTCACCCTGAAGCACTAATTTATAACTTGAAAAGGCTATTAGTCATTGATACACGAATATAAATACGTATGCACACACATCCCTATCCAAGCTTAAAATTATCAAAGAGCACGGATTTTTAGTCAAAAAAAAAAAAAAAAAAGTATTATAAAAACCAACTTCATTTAAAAAAACCCACCTGCCCAATCAACATAGACTCGAGAAAGTCAAAACCCGTAAAACAGATTTAAAAAAAGCAAGAAAGAAATCCAAAACCCACTGCCAACACAGTATTAAAAAAAAGCAAGAAAGAAACCCAAAACCCACCACCAACACAGTATTAAAAAAAAAAAAAAGCCAATATTTTTTTTTTTTAATATAAAAAGGCAAAGAAACTCTTACACGGTTGAAGAAAAAAGTAAAGCCGTGGAATTGGCTCGCCGAACTTCAAACACACATGCAGCAAACCACTATTCCCTAGATTTAACAATGCTTGGTCATTGGGTCAAGAAATTTCAAGATCCTACTTTCTCTTCTTCTCAAAGGAACAGACGAAGCATTGGTTCTGGATGTCGTTCATTTTTTCCTGAAGAGGAGGCTAAACTGTATGAATGGATAATGACAGTTCGCCAAAGTGGACTTGCGGTTACTTACTCTAGTATAAAGTTAAAAATGGCTGAAATTTTGGATGAAAGTGTTAAACGAACGAAGGATATGTCTAAAAAGCTTGCAATTAATAAATTCAAGCTCTCAACATACTGGCTTAGTCATTTTTTAAAACGCCATAATCTTTTTCTTCAACAAAAGACCAAAATCACCCAAAAGTTACCAGAAGACCTTGAAAATCAACTACTTAACTTTCAGTGGTTTGTAATCCGTCTTCGTCAAAAAAATGAATATTCCCTAGAAATGATTGCAAACATGGATGAGATGCCAGTTTATTTCGACATGGCAGGTAATTTAATCGTAAATCCCAAAGGTGCAAAAACGGTTCATGTTAGAACAACTGAAAATGATAAAAATAGGTTTACTGTTGTCTTGACATGCCTCGCTGATGGTAGAAAGTTGCTGCCCGTTATTATCTTTAAAGAAAAGGTTTGGCCAGCTCACACACCACCACCTCCAGCCGGCGTAGTAGCTTGGTTTCAAGAGAAAGGATGGATGGATGAGGAAGGAATGGGTAGATGGATAAAGTATTGGAATAATGTACGATCAGGACTACGTAATTCAAAATCTATGCTAGTCTTAGATTCTTTTTCAGCTCATATCACGAACCGGGCAAAGGCTTCATTTCGTTTAGAAAATACAGATTTGGTCGTTATTCCCGGAGGTCTTACTAGTATGTGTCAGCCCCTTGATGTTTGTATTAATAAACCTTTCAAGGATAAGCTTCATAAGTTTTGGCATAGGTGGATGTCGAATGGTGGTAATGGTTTTACCAAGAAAGGAAACTTGAAGCGTGCTAGTTTGAATATGGTATGTCATTGGGTTTTGAATGCTTGGGAAGATATTTCTAAAGACATTATCGTCCGGGCATTTAAAAAATGTGGCATCTCTAATTGTTTGTCGGAAATTGAGGATCATTTGATCTACGAGGATGATGAGGATGAAAAGAATCTAGATGATAACGAATCTGATAAAGATAGTAAGGATGAGGATTCTGACGATGACAAAGATGAGGATTCTGACAATGACAAAGATGAGGATTCTGACGATGACGAAGATGAGGATCCTGACGATGACAATGAAGAAACTAATGAAGGGGAGGATTCTGACAAAGATGATGAGGAATCTGGTGACGACGAGTCTGATAATGATAACGAATCTGGTAATAAGATAAATGAATATTCCAAATGGCAAGAATGCTTTGTTGTTATCAAAAGAGTAGTATGACTTCACATATTACATATAGGGTAAGAATTATTATATAAAAATGCATGATCTGCATGTTGAATAAGAATTAATTTAAGCATTTTATATCCCTTATACCTTGGATAAATTAGGAGCAACATTTCATTTATTATTTGGATTTTCACGTAATAGTATAATGGTCAAATATAATTATTAATGATGTGCAGTGGCTATTATAATGGTGTAATAAAGCGTAATAAAATCTAATTTTACTGGTCATTTTGCAGCATGTACAGTACCTTCTTAATAATGCAATCGATGAATTCCAAATGTACTATAAATTATCATGTTAAATTTATATAAAAAATTGCTTGTCGGTATATAATTTTTTATTTTATTCTTTTTTATTTATTTATTTATTTTATTTATTTTATTTATTTATTTTACCAGATGTTATGCGAATAACGAATAGTGCAATATACTTTTGCTAAAGTTATTTCGGGCGCATTCAAATATTTTAAGATATAAGTCTTTATTTTCGTAATAAATTGATAAAATCGGTAAGAACTTAAAAACATTTTAAGTTATACAATATTTTCTCAATAGCATTATATGTATGAGAACTAATCTTAAATAATTTATTAATTTAAAGGGATTTAAATATCTGCAGCTTTTTTAAAATACCCAAAGGCAATGCATTCATCCTTTTCAACTATAATGCAACTATGATGCATTATTTATTTTCATCACATATTCGTTATTTATGAGATTTTTGCAATTTATTAAATGCTTAAGTTTGAAACATCAATTAGGTATAACATTACCAATAGGAGAGTAATTAAAAGCTGGAAAAAAAATTGAGCAAAATTAAATTTCATAATAAAAATATACTCATTTAATTACTTTAATTAACTGGTTGGTTACATAGTTTTGATGTGAGTATCATCATGTTACCTGTTTATAAAAATTCAAGCTTTTACAATTACACATTAACTTCGAACCTGATATTTTCCTAGACCAGTTCACATATCGATATGCTTTTACTATAATAATTTCATAATGATAACGATAAGTGATTTATGATATTTTAGGCAAATAAAACATTAGCTAAGAATATCATATGAATAAATAAAATATTATCGTTATTTAATTTTTAATGATTACCAAATCAAATTTTCGGCCATTTAATCGAATAGTAAATTTTTAGTTAAAAGTGCGTAATCAATAAT